TGTGGGGAGGTCTGAGTGAGACGCAGCAGAGCCCCACGGTGAGTGTCTGTCCGTGTCTGTGGAACAACAACGTTTGGATCACTTGCAGTCGCAGAGCAGCGCGGCGCCTCGCAGCGTCCAGCGCTCGGGCGGCTGCAGGCTCCTCAGCTGCAGAGAGAAGATGAAGTTCAGGTCGGTGCGTCGAGGCTTCTTGTAGACGGGACATGAGTACAGGCTGACCGCCCCCCGCCGCCAGGGGGACGCTTACTGTCGGCCATGTTGGCTGAGCTGACGGCGAAGACGTGGACCACAGGGAGGGGGGTGAAGAGGACCTGAGGGGCCGAGACAAACTTATTATTACTGAGCAAAAACAAAAATACTTTGATTTCATTTAGTTCCTAAATTTTAGTTTAGATTTAGTTTCTGAATCAATTAATAATTCATAATTTTTCATTAGATTAATCTTTTAAAAACTCTTAAAATGTTTTTATGTTAATTTACAAAAAAATACAGAAACAGTAAAACGTTGGACTTTTGAACGCTGAAGTTTTTTAAAGCTTCAGTTTATTATTTTAATTTAAGTAAAAAAAAACACTGATTTTAAAAAGACAAACTTTGGGCGGAGCCTCAACGAGTTTGGCGCCACGTCTGTCCCATCCCGCTCCATCCAGAAAGAGGCCATAGATATAGACTCCACCCACATCTTCAGGGGGCGGAGCTGAGACGTCCTCCTTCATCATCTTGGTGACATCGTTGCTAAGGGTGACCGTGTCCAAGGCCCAGCCCCTGGACAGGTTGGAGCGTGTCGTCTCCTGGCGCATGGCGGTCAGGAAACCCTAAAGAAACAAAAAACATTCGGAAAGAAAACTGAAGAATTCCAAAACTCCAGATTTCCGGAACAATGAACCAACCTGCGGGTTGAAGAAGCCGGTGAGCCAGAACTGGTTGGGCCGGCCGGCGCTGATCCACGCGCTGAGCTGCTGGTTCCTCTCCAGCAGCTCGCTGAACCAGAAGCCGAGCGTGGCCGACGGCCAGCTGAGCCTCAGCCACAGGCGCGGGATCCGAGCATCGAACATGCTGTCGAGGGCGTCGCGCAGGTCTTCAGACATGATGATGGTCCCTGCAACGGCGGGAACACGAGTCAGATCGAGCGTCAGTGAACGTGTGTGTGTGTGTGTGCGTGTGACTGACCATCGATGGCCAGTCTGAGGTCAGTGAGCGTGCTCCGTACGCTGCTGATGACACGCTGCATTCGGTCCAACTCCTGTCGGAGGAAGATGTTCATTGGCTGAAGAGGACCCATCTTCTGGAGTTGACCTTTGACCTTCAAAACACACAGAGACGTCATGTTTCTCCAGGGGACTCATGAACGTGTTCGTGTTTGATGGTTCAGAGATGCCAGATTCTGCTGATGATTTAAAGTCTGAATTCATCTAAAAGAATCAGACGCTGACAAATCTGCTGCCTGAAATCTATTCACTCGTTTCCATCATTCACTGGGCGACGGTCGGGGTTAGCAGCCGGGCTCTAGAGTACAACCACACTGTGCTTTGTCACATTTATCTCTGCATTCTTTTTCACTTCCTGTCAAAGTTCAATAATGTTAGCTTAGCATAAACATTAGAAACAGGAAACAGCTACCCTGGCTCGGTCCAAACGTACCCAAAGCTCCTCACCTGCATCTCTGACACTCGTGTATTAGCACACTGTTTGTTTGAGCTGCACAGAGCTGCATGTGTTTCTTGAGCCAAACAAAGCTGCTTTGAACATGAGCACATTTTTGTTTTTAACTTGGCAGCTTGTTGCTTACACAGCAGCTCAGCTGTTTCCAGTATTCATGCTAAGCTAAGCTAGCTGACGGCTGATTGGTGGGATTGTGTTCTTCGTCGAGTTTTGGGTCGGCCGTTCGGTGCTAAACAAACACCTCATGTGGGATGTAGTCAGGTGGCAGCTTCTCCAGCATCTCATTGGCTAGTCTCTGCACGCTGGCCTCCCTGGTCTCCCCGGCCCCGCCTCCGGTGTCCTTCGGTTGGATGTTGATTATGGTGCTGAGCGTGTCATTCGCCAGGTTGGTCTGGTAGGTGATGTCAGCGTTGGGGTGGAGTCCAAACACCTGCAAACAGGAGAAATGTGACATGTGACTGGGCTAGTACTGCCTCAGTGTGGACGCGTCCTGTCTCTGAGCGTGCTCGGACCTCCGGTGAGTCGACCAGCGGCAGCCCCTCGATGTGCTGCAGGACCTCCTGGATGCTCTTGGCCTTGGCAGGGATGCTGTAGCCCTTAAAGAAGCAGAAAGCTTCACTGAAGGTGCTCTCACTGAACCAGACACGCGTGAACGTGTTGAGGAGCCGTTTGTCCAAGTCATCCGTCACCCGACCGCCATACTGGACTTCACCTGGAGAGCAGACGTGAAGAAAGAGTCAGGAAGATTTCTGGATACCAGGAGGGTTTGAGGTTTCTCTCATAATCTGATAGATGAAACGTTACGGTGGAAAGAACAGAGCAGGTTTAAAGAGACTGACCGAGCATGTAGCGCAGACAGCTCCAGTTCACGCCTCTCTTCACGTCCAGGTTGTCCAGGTGGTTCTGCACAAACTGGATGCTGGAGGTAAAATCTGCCTGGTTGAACTCGTAGGGGATGTTCCAGCCGAGCGGACCGAACTTACGACGCTCCTGATGGGATAAAGAAGAGGAAGGAGAAATGATAACATCAGAATGATCTTACAGGAGCTGTTTTCCACAAAGAAACGGTGGATTTATGAATCTGATCGTGTGGGTGTTGGCAGATACCTGCACGGTGGTGTGGAGGAAGGCCACAGCGTACAGCAGAGGCTTCCACTGAGGCAGGCTGCTGATCTCTAGCTGGTCCTGAGTGACACCATTAAAAGTTCTCTTCAGACCGGCTTTCATGCCTGATGCCGACAGATAAAATAAAATAAGTGGGAAAGTGAAAGACAGCGAAGGATCAATAAAAATTCACGAGTTCATCAGGATCACGTCTCCTACCAAGAGGAGGTTCATTGGTGAACTTGATGGAGGACTGAAGGAAGGTGATGGGGAACCTGCTCACAAACACAAACACAGTCAAGCAGCTCTGCAGACACAGCTGCTGGTTTAAGCTGAGAATAAATGTGCCGTAAAGTAAACCTGCAGAGGGGCCGCCAGGACTTAAAGCAGGACGTCAGACCTCGTCATTGTTACCTGGGGTGCACGTCGGTCGTCAGCCACACTCGGAAATCTTTGTGCACGCTCTCCGGCACCGCTGATGTGACCGTCTCCAGCAGCTCATCCAGGAAGTCCAGTCCCAGGTGGCAGTTCTGGAGGAGGAGCCAGCCGCCATCCAGCATGCTGTTGGCCAATAGCCTGCGAGCGTGAACCTCTTGGCCCTGACCCATGGAGATGGGATGGCACGGCGCCCCCTGCAGCAAAAAAAATCAAATCTAGGCTTTAACAAATCAAATCAGTATTTTTCCTTAATTTGCTTTTACTCCTGTACTTTCAGCTATTTTTCTATAAATACACAAAAATTATTTTTGTATTTTCTTGTGTACCCCGGTCATCTGCACTCTTTAGGTTTAAAGTAAATATCCGATCACTTGCTTAAATAGGATTTATGACTATATTATTCGTACTTAGTATTAATTATTTCGGTAGTTTCCGATGTTTTTCCTTTTTATTACATCATCGTTCACCTCCGCCCTTTCACTACTCGCCCTCACCTTATTCTTGGCTAATCTCTCGATGTTCTCAGTCGGGTCGGAGCCCATCGACAGCAGACACACCATCGGCGTTCGGTTGTTGCTCTCTGCCAACACGGTGTCCAAGTCCAGGACCGAGCCTTCGGCGTACCGTTGGCCCAGAGACTCTGAGATGTAGCGCCGCGCCTGCAACCATCAGCTGTTAGCCTCCACATTAACCACAGTCTGCTCTGTCAGATCAAATCAGCAGTCAGACCTGAGCGATGGTCCGGTCGGGGCACCAGCTCCGGATGAGCAGAAGCTTCCGGAAGGGGTCGAGCTTCTCCTCGTAGCCATCGGGCAGCGGGGCGTCTTCTGGCGCTGGATGGTCGAACCACGCTTTCCAGGCGCGCTCGTTCTGGTTCACCTGGTTCAGAATCTGGAAGAACGCAGGCAGGCTGGACAGCTGAACCAGGTTCAGCCAGGTCTGGTCCAGGATCCAGCGCCGTGGCTTCGATTCTACCGAGTTCAGGTCCAGAGAGGCTCCGCCTACACCGAGAGAGAAACAACTTTCACTCTCAAAGGACTCTGGAGGATGCAGGAGAAGAAAGGAGGAGGAGAAGGTAACCTTTGATGAAGGTGAGCACCTCCACGTGCGAGATGATTCGGGCCTGCAGGTCGATCTTTAGAGCCAACAGCAGAGTGAAGAGCAGCTTGTGTTCCTCGTACAGACCTCTGGCTGTGTAACGGTACACCTGAGGGACAGACAAACATCCTGAACCTCCACTCGAGTGCACGTTACAGGAAAGAAAGGACAGCCCTGAGGTGTGCGCTGATGAGGAGCACCTGGTAGGTGAGGAAGCTGATGATGTTGCTAATGCGTTTGGAGGTGACCTGCGACCTGGCCGAGTTCTGCATGGACGAATCAAAGAGCCCGAGAAACTGCCGCAGCGACGTCTGGTACATGACGTTCACCAGCGACATCTCCACAATCAGGAAGTAGAGGATGCTCCCCCTGGTGGCCACTGGCCGGTACTCCTCCCTGGCCTGGTTAATCTTCACCTCTGTCTCCGCGGCAACCGTCAGCTTCTCACTTACCTGGAAGATAAAAGGACTCGCTGACTTAGCGGCTCCCAAACTTTTTTTACCACCACCCCCAAACACATCCTCCAACCACACACACATATTTAGTTTTCAAACTCCATCGCAGTTTATTTCACACCACAAACATTTAGTAAATAATTAAACAAATAACAGTAAACTGTAATAACAATAACAATAATATAAGTACTAACACTTACACAGGTAATTTTGAAAACGCAGCTGTTTCTATGTGTTTGGGGCTTTCGTCCACACGTAATGTTTCGAATCACCGAAAACTGAGATTTTTAAAAATCCTGTCAGGATGGAGATTTTCAAAAACTCAGTTTTTGCGTTTACGTGTGGACGAGGAATACGGAGTTCGTCACGCAACGTCAAAAGTATGTGCTTTTTTTTCACATCACGCTGTGCGTCACGTTATTGTTTACATGAGATGAATTGCAGAATGGCAGATAGAGACAAAATACTGTTAATCTGACTGTCTGCAGGTTTTACACGCTTACATACACGCAGTTACTGTCCCTCCGTTTACAAAGGCAGAGGCGTCACGCTGTGATTATTTTACATGTAGTTGTTTTTTTCCTGTGTAATAATATTCAACATTGATATCAATACATTTTTCAAAAAATGCCTCTCTGTGCAAAATGGGTTTAAAAACATAAACAGCTGTGGGATCCTGTTTGTCCGTGATTTGAACCGGGGGAACAAATCGTGGCAGGATCAGCCTGATGTTATTTGTATCCCACTGTAACTTTACTGTATAAAGAGCAAACATCTCCAACATGTCAGGAGTAGTTAGTCATTACAACAAGTGTTTGTGAACAAAAAATCAAGAATATGGGATCCTGTTTGTCCGTGATTTGAAGAGCCCAGTGCTGTTCTGATGCAGGGAAACTAATTCTGCAGGGGACACCTATCTCGGCACTTGTGCAGGTGAAGCCAAAGGGCAGATTTGCTTCACCATATTTTCTAGTCTTTGGCTTAGAATGAAGTTGGTTTGGAAACATATTCAGCGATGCTTCATCTCCTGCTTTGTGTTTGTGCGGGAGCCCCGTGAAAAACCTGTCAATGATGCTAGCAGTGTCCAAGCGCTCTTTTTTTAGATCAGTTATTTATTTTATTCATACTGTCGTCCCCCCCCCCCGCAAGGGCTCTGCGCCCCCCATTTTGTGAACCTTACAGCAGATTTATTCTTCACATTCCAGCTGCAGACTTTTATCCTTGGACGTTAATAGAGTGCAGCTGATGATTTTTAAATGTTTTCCTCGATGAACATTACAAACATGTATCAGACAATAAGGAGACGCAGTGAAGGAGCAGCTGGTACCTCCTGAGCGGTGATCTTGGTGACGCTCAGCACCTCGATCAGAGACTGGTCCTCCACCAGCGAGCCCTGTGTGCTGGTGAGCCTGAACAGCAGGCTGTCCTCCAGCTCCTGCATCTTCCTCTTGTTGGACGTCACCTCCTCCAGGAGCTTCACTCGCTCTGCCTCCATCTCCTTCATCAGAACACGGGAATCGTTTCAAAATGAGGGCAGACATATTTAATCCACCTTCAGTTCAGTGCACAGAAACGTTATCTTTTTTCGTGGCCTGTTTGGCCTCCGCTGAGATGTTGGGCGGACACGTGGGTTCAGACGTTCCCACCAACATAAAGCAGACAGCATGAGTGTGTGGTGTAAAACATCTTAATGTGGACGTGCCGAGCGCTACAATGGCCTTCAAACATACCGTAGGAAATGTAACTAGCTAACTCATTAACTACGTCACTGATTGGATAACAGGCGGGTGGAATGACCTGCTTCTCCAGCAGGATGACCCGTCCCAGCAGCTGGTCCTCCAGGCCTCTCTGAGTGACGGTGAAGTCCACCACGGCCGTCCTGGCGCTGACCTCAGGGCTGTATGCTGGGTTGGCCATCTTGGTGGTGATGTAGAGCGTGAAGCCCTTCATTACATCCACCTCCTTGTCTCCAATCTTCACCTGCAGGAGGAGGAGAAACATCCGTTACTGTGTCTTCTTCCTCATTTAGCCTCCGGTCCAGATCAGCTGTTTTACCTTGTAAGTGGAGCCAGACTTGATGTAGTTTTTGTCCAGTATGTTGTCCAGGACGGGGTCCAGTTCCTCACCAACGTCCTCCAGCAGCAGGGGGCGCCCAAGAGACAGGCTGTCCTCCAGGTGGGAACGGAAGTATTTGTGGTTCAAAGACGTCACCTGAGCCACAGAAGAAGAAAATCACGAACAGTCAGCGAAGCGCTCGGACTTTGAGTCACGTGCTGGCGCTCTCACCTGCAGCTGCTGGTCTCGCTCTCTGTTCTGGATCCAGGTCTTGCCCTGGCCCTGGGGGTCTATCAGCAGCGGGTAGCGGGACGCCTTCGTCACCACGATGCCGTTCTGGATGGACAGGTCGTCGCTGGGTAAACCCTGCAGGTTCCACTCGCTCACTGTGGCGTTGTCCACCAGCAGACCAATCACGTTCAGCTCCTGCAGGAGAAACGGAGTCAGAACGAGCTCGTTCAGCAGGGTTTGGTTCCTCGTGTTTAAGAACCAACAGAAACAAGGCGGCTGTGATGCGTTTCATCAGCTGACCAATAATATGGCTGCTTTGTCTGAGCTGCAGGTATCTGTGTCTCTGGGACACACCCCTACTGTCTGTGGATTCTCTGTATAAACGTTCAGCCGTGACATCTTACGGGACTGAAGGGGAGGTGCTTCTCCTCCATCTCTTTCCTCCACAGCGTCAGCAGCAGGCTGCGGTACTCCTGGTTAAAGGGGCCGGCATAGGACAGGAAGCCTGTGGCCAGAAGGACGTCCCCCACCAGGTGTTTGATCTGAGTCTGAAACCCCGCGCTGCTGTCGGTCCAACGGACCTGAGGCACAACAAGACGAGGTGTGAGATGAAGGAACGATGGACCAATGAACCGTTAGATGGATGGAAGGTAGAAGCTGACCTTTTCTCCTCCCAGGCCGTCGATCAGAGCGCGAGCATTGGCCATCTTCCGGCGGCAGGCCTGGGCGTCATCCTCCAGGTCCTGCTTCTCCTTCATGGCAGCGTCGTAAAGCGCCTGAAGGTCCAGATCAGACACATTCACCAAACTTTAAACATAATAATCGATTAAAATGTTATCAGTGCAAAAAGAAGAGAGAGCCAAATGAGTGGAGACGACAAACTAAAGTGTCCAAACGAGTGAGCGAGTTTCACAAAGACAGATTTAACTGATAGCAAACTGCTGAACTACAGATGGTCACGATTCTCAGAAGGTTCAATACTCAATAAACCATAAAAACAACAAACCAGTGACCATGAAGTTTGTATTTTCCCTCATTTCTTGTTACGGCTGCTGTTTAACCACCAAAACAGAGGAAGGCTGAAATGCTGCTGTGCACAGAAACTCTACAAGACTTTGAACCCAAATAAAACTGAAGAGAGTCGAAAACCTGCAGTGACAGTGAAACAGGAAACTGCCTCATGATTAGAGATTTGACTGACTTCAGTTCAGTCTTTATTAAAGACGACAGTCTGAGAGCGGGAACACAAACACACTTTACCTGCACCGCGTCCAGCTCCAGCTGTTTAGCATCCAGCTGTTCCTGAGCCTTAGTGAGTTCAGCCTGAGCCACCAGCAGACGGGCCTCCTGCATGGCCAGGTTAGCCTGTGCACACACACACACACACACACACACACACAC